GGAGCTGCTCAGAGTGGCTGCTCATTCAATCAGTCTGGGATAGATCCTTTAACACTACATATGTCCAAATTGTCTAGGAGCCAACTGAATGATGTTATGTCTGAGTTCAAGGTCAGGATGTTGATTGCATACCACTCCAACTCATAATATTTCTAGTTCTGCTTGAATATTGCTGCAAATTTATAAAATAGCAACAAACATGGACAACATACCCAGTGTAATCCCACAAGTATGCAAGCCTTGTGGATAATTGCTTGACATGATTATTGTAATTTTGATGACAGGCAATGTGTACACAAAACAAGGAACAGACACGCCAACTGCTGCTAGCAATTCCAAATTTGTCAAAAGCTCTTTTTCTGGTATTAACCTATGTTAGATGCTCAACATATTGCAAGTTTATGCTGTTGTTTAGCATTTTTAGTATTGCTGACTTCAAAACAATTATCCGTTCTTCATTGCAAATTGCATAGCCGCTGTTCTTTTCTGGAGTGCTGAGCATGCTTTAGTGCAACATGAAGGGGATCATATTACTTGTTCTCAGCATCAGAATATCACTATTCTTTCTTTTTACATTGCATGATATTGAAACCACACAGTTACTAGTTTGTATTTGTTTGCCAATGCAGGCACAACTAATACTGGGAATGGTAACCCAACCAATGGTTCGTTCACTGGTTCCTTTGTTTTAATACCTCTCTCTCTCGTATATATTTATATAGATAAGCTGTCAAAGTGTATCTTTTCAAAATTCCTATAGCTTTCCTTTCCTTTATTGTTCTTTTGACTTTGATTCCTATTGTTTGGTATCATAATCACATTAAGGAGCACCTATTCTTGATTTTATTTGGAAATCAGCACACACATATATTGTCTTCATTTTATTATGGGCATTGTACTGCTGCTGCTGTTTTAGTTGTTTTTTGAGGATCAGTTTGACAAAGAGCAGCACCTGATAATCTTTGAAATTTGCAGTTGCAGACGCCAAACATTCAGCAATCTGCTGCACCTAAGCTGCAGCCATTGGTTCTAGATAGTCAACAAAGTCAACAACTGGCAACTCAGTCTCTTCTTGGGTTACCCCCACTTCCCCCTAGTTTGCTCCCCCAGGCACAGCCTCAGACTCAACTAGCACTATCGCAAAACCAAGTTTTGCAAAGTCAGCCTAACCCTTCTAGAAATCCTTCCGTCAATGCAACCCAAGTCAATGTGTCAATTAATCCGCCAGTTCAGGTGGGAACTTCTGTTGCTGTAAAGCAGCAAATGCAGCCTTTTTTCTTACAACAAGCTGGGCCAGTTGCTTCCATGAATTTTACATATAATAGTCAGCTGGGGACAGAAAAGACAAGCTATCCTCCTCCTCCTTCATCAATGCGTACCCCGTCATTGGAACAAGGTTCTCAGGTGTATATCTTTATTTACTGTTAGTCTACAACTGCAAATGAACGAACGCAGCTGGCAAAATATAAAATCTACGGGAACAATAATTTGAAAATAAGTTAATAAGGACAAAATAACTTACTTTGGATGATTGTCATGCTTGAATGGTTAAGTAATTTTCCAAAGAACAAATTTTCTGTAGAAAGGAAGCGAGCTTAGGATTCACTTAATAGATTTAGGATGAAACGAGAAGATGAATAGAATCTTATGCAAAAGGTTGCTTTATAGCTTGCTCTGCTCCTTGCCGCTTGCTCTGCTCCTTGCCCCTTTCCTACTCATGGAAATTTTACTTGATATGTATCCCGAACGCAATAAAATAGGAAGTCCGTAGGATAGTAGCTATATGGAACTGTATGTATCTTTCTGCAAGAGACTTACCTTTAGTGATGTGATAGTTTGTTTCTTCCAAAGGGACATCAATGTGAACTTGTATAATTTTGTTTTTTTATTAACAGGGAAATCCTTCAGTAGTTTCTGGTGTCTTGGATAATACGAATAAAGACTCTCGACGACCCCAGGCTCCTAATAATTCATCTTTGATTGCCATACCAGCTTACCCTTCAGGTTTGCCTGAGGTGAAGAGAGGGGCAGCATATAATCTAGATCCTCTGAGTCGTCCATCGAAAACGACAAGGCTAAATGATGGGATAAGTTATGCCTTACCTGATGCAAGTGTATCTACGCCCCAGTCAGGATGCTCGACTCAAGTTTTAGCTGCAGCAGAAATGTCAAACCCTGATAAACAAGCTACTCAGGTAATTTTAGAGTGTTGAGGTTTCTTTGTAATCCATTGAAGGAACTTAAGATTAGATCAATTGCAAATGATAAGTGAATTAAGATGTTTCTACTTCCATTTGTTTTATTGCTTGATATATTGATTTGGAAGTATGCATAACTAATACATCCGATGCATACAATCTTCGATGTGAATATGTTAAATGCCCCTTGTTGTGTTGATTTGATACTTTATTTAGAATCACATGGGATGTAACTGTAATATGGTAGATTATTTATATTAAGAAATATTCTTCTTTTTTAACAGGTACAGCTTCCCTCGGACGTTGAATCTGCCTTGCTGCAACAAGTTCTGGGTCTCACTCCTGAACAGTTAAGTGCACTGCCACCAGATCAACAGCAGCAGGTCATTCAGCTCCAACAGATGCTCCGGCAGCCAACATAGCCAAACTTTAATACGTGACGAAGGACCTCAGGTACTTGCCCCACCGAAATATTTCTGCAGAAGGGCATGTTGTTTTTTGGATCATTTACCATATTGTAAAGTGATGTATTTCCAAAGGATTGTAAAAATGCACTTGGGTGTATTACATTCATGTAATGACTGTAAGCAGGCTGTTTTTACAAGCTAAGTTGTACTCTAGCATTAAATATTTATTCCTATTATTACTCTGAAGCTACTTGATGTCACCCTCGTTAATAGGGATGGCAATTGGGGCAGGATGAGGCTTGTCAAAGCATTTTCAAAAATTAAACGGGAAGCACTCGAAGCAGGATGGGGCGGGTCGAACCTTTCTTATATAGGGATTTCAATTGGGGCAGAATGGGGCGGGTCAAACCTTTTATTTTCAAAAAAAAATCAAACAGGACAGGCAGGTGATAGGGTGGGTCAAAGCTTTTCAAAATAGTTTAAAGGGGAAATTGTATGAAGTAATGGAGTATCAATTCAAATTAAATGTTATTATCATAGTTTCATTTAATTCTAATATATGGCAAACACTTTATCATTCTTCACTCTTCATAGAAATTTCGCTCGCCTCTCTCACTTTATACAAACATAAATGTATAAATTTGTGTTTGTGTTTGTATAAATTAAAAAAAACTATATATACAAATACAAATATATATCGCTTTGTTCTATACACTTACAATTATACAACACAAATTTTTCCTTACCAGTTCTCTTTTGTTTTTATCTCTTTCTCGCTTTATACAATGTATAATTTGTGTTTTTATAAAGCGGGAGAAAGATTTAATATACAAATACACCGTTTTAACTCGATTCAACTGTATACGAATTCAAATTTTATGCAGATACACAAACACAAAGAACATATACATATACAAACTCAATTTTCATAAACAAATACACGCAATTTATACAAATCGTTGTGATTTATACAAATTAGATGCCTGCGATTTTATACAAATCATAGATGTTTGTAATTTTTATACAGATTTGATGCTCCATCGCAAACTAAGTTTGCTATAGAGCGCAAATAGCAAATTGTAGCTACAGAGTGCTATCATGATTTTTATGTTTGCTAAACCTAAAATTTATTCTATGTAAACTGAAACTAAATAAAACACGGCTAAACAAAGTTAAATAGAGTAGGGCAAGGCTACATTTAAACAAGAAAGATAAACAGGGCAGAACAAAGCAAAACTTTACCAGGGAGAAACTTGAGAAGATTGAAGATTGCCCTACCAGCAAGAAAGAGGGAAAAAAAGTGTTGTCATCTAACTCGACCAGTTTCTGGAGACTTTGGAAATTAAGACCAGCTCAAAGAATTACTCTCGCTATTTAGCCCTTTGTTCCGCCAACAAAGAAGTTATCCTTGACGATTTTTCATTCCTTCCCTGTCGAGTTGCTTCTCTTCGACATTAATGTTTCCGCCTCCTCTTTCTATAACATAGCTAGGCGCCCTCCTTTTCAATCACGGAAGAAAAAAAAAACAATTAAAGCTCTAAGTCGCAGACTACTCAAGTAAGTGTGTGACTCTCTATGAAGACCTTCTTCTCTTCTGGCCACCCTTTGTTCACACGGTTCTCAAAGTAGAGTAGGAAGGGTGGACAACATGTAACCCATCCTGCACCGCCTCATTGCCATCACTATCCTTAACCCTTATATGGACATTTGAGTCACGTAACTGGTGAAAGCCAAAGCCAGGTTCTAAGTGCTCGTCTCATAACTAGTTAGAGTTATGCAACTATTAGCAATGCATTGATTAATTATGAGGGAAATTATTTTATGCAAGATTTAGTTATTCCACTTCATATTCTACATAGAAGAAATATAAATTCTCATAATAAATACAAGTAGCGAATTTCGAAGTTGCAAATTGAAAATAAATTTGCGCTAATCCACAGTCATGAACTGCGCTCTGCACAAAAAAAAGTACATTTGTATTCACTTTCATTCAGAATGCGCAATAATTGTGCTACCGCAGAAGTCAATATAACATACATTCACAATCCAAAATCATGAACTCGGCACTGCACTAAGAAAGGTGCATTTGCATTCACTTTCATTCAGAACAAGAAATAATTGAGCTACTGCAGAGACCAATATGAACAAACACTGACAATCCACAATCATGAACTCAATTCTAGACTAAAGAAAGGTGCATTTGTATTCACTTTCATTCCAAACAAGCAATAACTAGGCTACCGCAAAAGTTTGAACAAACATTAACTTTCTATTGTGTTAATTTTATATATAAATAACTTACCTTAAATAACAATATTTATTCATAATTTAATGCCTTAATATCAGCCTAATTCACCTTCAAAACAACCCCTAATTGGATAAAAGCAGCTCATAATTAAGTAAAACATAACTAATCTCACTCCATTCAGATAAAAGTAAACTGAAAATCTGAAACGAGTCTCTGTTTGTTACATTCATGGCCACTTTTACATAAAATATAATAAATATAGATATGTTGCACTCTCCATTTTAGTCCGGAGTGAAGATGGTCTCCAAATAGGGAGAGAAAATTTAGTTTTATCGAACAACACGTCAAGGGTTCAATTCCTGCTAACTTGAAAAACCAAAAAAAAATACAATCAAAGTATAGTTAGCAACTCCACTTCTTTCTTCATACTCACTCTATCATCTCATTTTGTTCCTCGCCAAGTTTCTTTCGAAAATAGTTTTTTATACTATGAGATCACACTATTGTTGTTGTATTACCTCATCAAAGCTGGCTATTCTTGTTTTGATGAGAGTTTTCATCATCAAAATTCCAATTCTCACATAATACTCTCTTCCCTATTCCACCACTTCTACACACACCTGACACCCCACCACCGCCAATCTTAAACCTCACTTTCCCTCTCTTCAATGGCAATTCAAGTCCTTTCCTTTCCTTTTCCACACTATCAGCAGCAGTTTTTTTCTCCCTCTTTGGTTCCTCCTCAGTTTTAGCACCACAATATCCCCAAAGTTCCCTTTTTCTCTTCTCAACAATTTCCTTTTCGTGATTCACAATCACCGGCATTACTGGTAGCCATTTCGGGATATGCTTCTTATCTCCTCCAAGGTACTCAATCTTACTACTACTACCTACATTTCTCAAACCTTTTCTGCTTCCTAATGAAAATATTTTCCTAGGCAACGGTTTTGCGAACGGAATTTCCTTGGAATCCTCTGTGAATGTATCGAGTTTCTTCACCGCGCCGGAGTTGAGAAAACAATCGGTAGCTCTCCATGCTCCGGGGAATCCACTCACCGAGCTCAGCTCATCCACGGCGGCGATTGTGTCGACGAGATTTGCCTGGGTACGGCATGCTGAGTTGGCTGAATCCGCGGCGGACTTAGCGATTGTTCTCAGGTACCTGATGGCGATGTCTGTTAGGATTCCGAGAACGGGAGCTTCTGCCGCTGTGAATCCAATGGAACTGCAGATCTGCGCAACTGCTGTTCTGGTTATGGTGAAGGCGTAATCGGACTCCGATAACGGCGTAGACGGAGGAGGAGGAATCACCACTGCCGTTGCCTTCGCCGCCACAGGGCGGTTGCGATTTGATTTTGAACTCATGTGGGCGGCTCTGCTTCTCGAGTCCTGAAACGAAAACCCTAGATGTTCATTGCTAAGAAAGCTTTAAGAGAGGAGAGTGGGGGGCTCGAACTCGTGCCGTTTATCATCGAAAGTAATAAACTGCAAACCAGTACGCTGGGAAATCTAACAGGACATTATTATTAATTTTTACATTATTTAATTAAAAAACAGGAGAGAGATGTTTACCTTATACGAACTTGAGGTCGATAAATCTGCAAATCTAGAAGTTTACTCCAGTCAATTGCACTTCCGTTAATTCTTTCTGTTTAAGAACTACAAAAGAAATTGTTTAAATAGAACAAATGTTTAAGAAAAACAAGCGAGACACACACATCTAGATGTTTCTAGGCGAGTGGAGATGACCGCTCAATAAAGAGGATTTTATAGTGAAAAATACAATGTAATGAAAAACAAAGTGGACTATGTATGTGCTAACTTCCTAGGGTTTACATAATTAATACTGGATTAATCGTATTCTGTGGGCCGGAGCTACGAACTTATAAAAAATGACCCATTTCTACTAAAGGGTTAGAAAAGAATAGAGGTATGACTCGCATAATATTTACGATTGAATGCAAAAAAATATAGGCAATGCGCAATCTCCAGTTCTTCCAAATTGACATCATGTCCAATATGTCCTTTGGCAAACCAAACTAGACAGCCCTTTCCTCAAAGTTCTACTAGAGCTGATAATGTGTTTGATTTGATTCATGCTGATGTTTGGGGTCCATATTAATTTCCTACTCATGATGGAAATAGATACTTTCTTACTTTGGTAGATGATTGTAGTAGAATGATATGGATCTTCCTCCTCAAATATAAAAGTGATGTATTCATTGTATTGAAAGACTTTCTTCAGCTAATACAAAGGCAATTTGGTGGTTATATCAAAATATTTCGAAGTGATAATGGTACAGAATTCTTTAATTCTCATTGTAGTGAGTTTTTTAGAACAACAGGGATTGTTCATCAAAGCTCTTGTGTTTACACACCCCAACAGAATGGGGTAGTAGAGAGGAGACACAGACAGATTCTAGAGGTTGCTAAAGCTATTAGATTTCAAGCTAATTTGCCTATCAGATTTTGGGGTTTATGTGTTCAAAATGCAGCTTATTTGATTAACAGAATACCATCTACTGCATTGTCAGGAAGATCTCCTTTTGCTGTGTTTTTTGGCAAAGAACCTTCTCTACATCATCTTAGAGTTATGGGTTGCTTATGCTATGCTGTCAATCACCATACTCATGGTGATAAATTTGACACAAGATCCATCAAGTCTGTGCTTATGGGCTATTCTACCACCCAAAAGGGATACAAACTATATGACTTATCTACTAAAACCTTCTTCACTAGTAGAGATGTTATATTTAGAGAAGATCAATATCCATTTCAACATATTCAAGATGAGTTCTGTGACTCTTCTTTTTTTGAAAATTCTGATATGTTTGTTTCTGATGATTCTCCTACCATCCTTTTACATGAACCATCTATTACTTCTCCAGACCCAACCTCCATCACAATTGATTCATCACCTAGTCCAATCTCCCAACCATTTGACAATTCTACTACTACTGATCTTAGAAGGTCTACTAGATCTTCTAAACCTCCTGGATGGTTACATAACTTTGTCCATACTGCTACACACAGTCCTACACATTCCCCTACATACTCTACTGCTCACCCTTTATCCACATACATGTCCTATTTCTCCATTTCTGCTTCATATTTTCAGTCATTGTGTAATTTTTCAGCTATACCAGAACCTACTTCTTACAATGAGGCTGTGCAGTATTCACATTGGATTCAAGCTATGGAGCTAGAACTAAAGGCATTACATGATAATCATACTTGGGATCTAGTATCATTGCCTCTTGGGAAGAAGGCTATTGGGTGTAAGTGGGTTTACAAGGTCAAGTTTAATGCTCAAGGTGAGGTAGAGAGGTATAAAGCTCGACTTGTAGCTAAAAGGTATACACAGCAAGAAGGACTGGATTATCAAGAGACATTCTCTCCTGTTGTTAAAATGGTAACAGTGAGGGTAGTACTCTCCTTAGCTGCTATGCATGGTTGGTTTCTACATCAAATGGATGTTTTTAATGCCTTTCTACAGGGTGACTTAGTTGAAGAAGTGTACATGGTTCCTCCACCTGGTTTACTACAACAGGGGGAGTCTAAAGTCTGTAAGTTGAACAAATCACTTTATGGTTTGAAGCAGGCCTCTCGACAATGGAATTTGAAGCTTAGTGAGGCACTTATAAGTTCTGGTTTCATTCAGAGTCACCATGATTATTCCTTGTTTACCAAATGTTCTGGTTCTGATTTGGTCCTTATCTTAGTTTATGTGGATGATCTTCTGATCACTGGTTCTTCTTCTCAGTTGATTCAAGCCACTAAACTCATGTTGAACACTCATTTCAAGATCAAGGACCTGGGGGAGATGAGATACTTCCTCGGTCTTGAAATTGCAAGGAGCAGAGATGATATTATGGTAAGTCAAAGGAAGTTTGCCTTGGACCTTATTTCAGATTTTGGGCTTGCAGGCACCAAACCAGTTAACACACCTTTGGAAGTTAATCAAAGGTTCACTAGCCAAGACTTTGACATGAGTTATGCTGATTGGGCTACATGTCCTATGACAAGAAGATCTGTTAGTGGTTTTGTGGTGAAAATTGGAGATTCATTGATTTCATGGAAGTCGAAGAAACAAAATACTGTGTCAAGAAGTTCTACTGAAGCAGAATACAGAAGCATGGCTAATGTTGTATCGGAAGTGGTGTGGTTAATAGGTCTGTACAAAGAGCTGAAGATGGAGTTGGAATTACCAATTAGATTGTTTTGTGATAGTAAAGCAGCACTCCAAATTGCTGCTAATCCTATCTATCATGAAAGAACTAAACATATAGAGATTGATTGCCACTTTATTCGAGAGAAAATACAAGAAGGACTCATTCAGACAGAACATGTGCCTTCAAGAATGCAGCTGGCTGATATACTAACAAAGAGTTTAGGGAGAACTCAACATGATTTCCTATTATCCAAGCTGGGTGTATACAACTTATTTGCACCATACAGCTTGAGGGGGAGTATTGAAAATAATAGATAGCAATTAGTTGAGTAATTAGTTGTTAGTTAAAGTAGTTAGTTGGTACAACTATACAGCTCATTAGTTAGTTATGAGCATAAATTAGTTATAACTGTTTTACTGAATTGGTTATGAACATGTGATGTATATATACATGTAGATACTGATCTTATCAATATACAACAAAACACATTTTTTACACTACATTCTGTTATTCCTTCTTCTCTCTTCTCCAATCTTCACTTCTGCGTATCACATTCTTCTCTGCACACACCTGCACACAAATCACCATTGAAGAAGTTAATCAGCTAAGTAGTTGAGCAGTTGAGTCTTCATTGAAGGTGTTAACATATTAACTTTGAAATCAAAGAAATATATAATAGTTGTTTATCCTACTTTAATTGCGAAAAGATTGAAATTAAAATTATTTTTATTTTACGAAGATTTTTTTTTTCAATTGTTATTTTAGTGTAAATTAACGATGAAGTTATCATAATCTTATATAGCTGACCTAAAATATCGTTTTAAATTAAAAAGTACTATATGCAGTATTACTATTTAAAATGATATAAAGAGATTTAAGAAAAAAAATCCACTTTTATTTCAGCCAAAAATAGATTAAGAGAGAAAAAAATAAGAATATAGAGCTTTCAAAATGATATTTTATTATAAATATAATGTGTTCAAAAAATAAAAGAAATAATAAGTTTATAGAAAAAAGGGATTTTTGACCAAAAGATATTATCGATAGGAGATTATTGGATCGAAACATTAATGATATAGATATTTTTTGATCGAACTACTAACCAATAATCATCACATATATAAAGGACCAAATTAGGAGTATTTGATTAATAAATATTTATTCAACATTGATATACACAAGCACAAATGCTAGGTCCATCAAATTGAGGTGCACAAGTTGCTCTATTTCCACCTCCAAATAAATGTTTACATGTAGGCAAGCAATCTTGTTCTGGATCATCATTTTTGCAAATTACCTCATGCACCTCTTTGTAACAAATCCCTTCCACTCTCCCAACATTTTCATCAACTGCAAAAAAAAATTGTAAATCGAACCGTCAAAATTATGTTGTTGTCTAGTAGTCAATGAAACAGTCCGATAAAATCAGATTCAAATTCTAACAATATATTTAAATTACCAAGGATGAGGGAAACATAAAAAAGAATACAACACAAGGAAGCTAAAGACTTTGCCATATATTTTTTTGGTTATAATTATTGGATTTGCTAATGTTACGTTTTAATAGCAAATGTTATACGACTGGTATTTACTGTTTAAGGGGAAAAAATGATTGTAATTAGATCTGGTCAATAAATATCTAAATTAAGGTATGTGTTAATAATGTTATTAGAGATAAATCTTATGTTTAGTCAATGCTCAATAGTCCACTCCAAGTTTGACCTTTTCTTAATCCCTTTATTAGAATTTTGGGTTCTGCAATTTAGTGCCATTTACTGATTAATAACCAGTAAATATTACTTGTCTTTTGTTGCGCGATTCATACGAGATAAATTACATTTTACAAACATAAACTAAACTTGTTACTATGTGCCCTTTGAATTTCATCGATTTAAGTTGATAATGAGGAAATTACGTCAAGTGTTTCCAAAAAGTATTTAATTTTAAATTTATGTCCTGAATAAAATCTCTAGTAATTAGCTTTAACTCAAAAAAGTTATTGGGAAGAATTTATATGTTGCCTATCAAGCAAGTTTTAACGTTTGCCTATAACGCAACACCTATGGTTTATTGAACAGATTCCTTGTCTTGAAATACAGAGCGAAAGTTAAAATTTATATTTGATAGTCAACATAACCCAAGTTCTAACTTTTACATGTAATATGAAGCTTCTGAAAAATTGAACACGTTCACTGTCTTGTCATATCCAAAAAAGTTTTCCTTATAGAAAAATGTTAGAACTTAATATGCCTGATGGCCACATAAAAAGTTTTAACTTTTGTCTCTAAGGCAAAACTTCTAGTTAATTGAGTAAGTTCACTCTTTTAAGATATCTTGATTATTAGCTTTGTGGACAAAATTTAAAACTCATGTTTGATGGACAATACACCTAAGTTCTAACTTTCACCAACAAAGGAAAAACTTCTAGCTCATTGTCTTAGACTTTAAAAAGCGCAACATGACAAATAAAAGTAAACAGAAAAAGTGCTTAAGTGGGGTTAGGAAATCAATACCATCCTTTGCAAAGATCATTTTTATTGGACTTTTCTTCACAGGAGACAA